CCCCCGGCTGCTGCTGCTGCTGCTGCTTGCGGGGCTTGCAGCAGAGGGAGGGGTGTTCAGGCGGGAGCTCGGCCGGGGAGAGCACCAGAGACCCTGGCCATCCTTCCTCGAGCCTCTCGGGAAAGGGGCCGCTGCGCCCCGCACACGCAGCCCCCCCGAAAAATGCAATGAAACCCCAATGCACCACCCTCCGAAAATGGTGCTCGGCAAGTACAAATCAGACCCCGTCGCTGCACCAACCTCACCCGATTTTTTTTTCCAATTCTAAAAAGAATAATTAGCGAGCCACCCCGCAAAAAAAGAATCGTAACGAAAACAGGCAAGGCACCGCCAGTCCAAAACCAAAACAAAAGCAATTTACAAAAGAATGCCTCCCTACGAGCAAAGTAAATGCATAAATCAAAACAATTGCAATTAAATATAGCAAGTGCAGCTCCTCCTCTCTACCAAAATGCAATTTAAAAAAAATGAATGCACCAACTCCTCACTTCAAGCCCTGGGGGTGGGAAAGTGCCCTAAAAATACATAAAATGGGCCAGCAACTATATATTTGCAAAAGCAATTTTTTTTGCAAAAATATCAATAAAAAATGCAACCCTCCCTCTGTCCTGCTCGGCTTGCAAAAAATCTGTGCACACCTGAAAACAAATGTACCCTAACATTTGTTTTTCAAATCAGTGCATTCCCCTCATCCTCACCCCCCAAAATATTAGCAACAGGGAAGAAAACAATAATTTTTAAAAAGCCAAAAAAAAAATCCCTCCCCCAGGTCTCTGCTTTCACTTGTGCATCATCTTGCTGTCTTCAAAATGTTGCAAGATCTGGAGAGGGAAAAAAAGGCTTTTGGGGGGTCTTGTTTGGCTTCTTAAGATGTAGGCTGGATTTTTTTTCCTGTTGCAATTTCACCAATGGTCCCTTCTTCTGCCTTATTTTTCTTATTATTTTGGTGCGGGTGCGTGCATGTCAATTTTGCATCATCTTGGAGTTGAATGCAGCAAAGAAATCCTGTAAAATCCAGCAATGAAAAAGAAGAGAGAAGTAGCAGGTCCCATCCACCATCTACTCATAAGGGTTTCCTGGATGCTGCAATGTCTAGTATTTTTTCTGCCCTGTATTCCTCCACCTCCTCCTCCTCCTCCTCCTCCTGGGTTATAGCTAAAATAAGACGGTGTTAGAGAGGGAGGGACTGGGAGAGAGAGAGAAAAAAATGGAAAAAAAAAGATCTGATTCACTGGCAGGTTGAGCTATAATGTGCAGCAACTGATCAATTTAATGCAAGCACAGACCATCCCAAAGCCTGAGCAAGGCTTAGCACATGATGGCTTGGGACCAATCAGTAGCTGCTGCCCAACCAAACCCAGTGGAGTTTCTGGGAGAAGAGAGAGACTGAGAGAGAGCAAAGGGAGGTTGGGGCCGATTTTTCTCTCCCCCCCACTCCCTTCCAGTTTGGAAACCCTAGAAATAAACTGCAGTTTCCCTAAGTATGTTCCCAGATGGATTCCTCTGGGGGGCTGAGGATTATACTGGGGAAATGGGGGTCCAAGTCTGCTCCTTGGGCTGCAGTGCTAGTTTCTGGGTCAGTGCAGGTCTCCTGTTTCTTTGTGGGGGCAGGCAGGGAAAGGAGTAAGTGGGCCCTGAACCTCCTCTGACTCTGCCCCAGGTTTAGAACAGCGTAGCTGGGAATTACTCCTGATTTGCCTGAGCAAGAAGAGAACGTGTATGTCTGTGTGTGCATGTCTGTTTATCTGTGTTGTCATGCCTATGAGACACTAAGCGACCTGTACAAACTCTACACAAAACCGACATCTTCCTTGAAAGAGCAACAGCTGGGACGATTGTGAGGGCTCAGTTTCATCCGTGTAAATCCAGAGAAACTCCACCGGCCAGATCCAGGAGTTTCTGTCTTTATTTGGGCAAATTTACTTCCCCTCCCTTCAGTGGGCGCTTGGCCTGAATAAGAAGTGAGGAAGCCTGGGGTAAGGACCTTCAGTTGGGTCCCCCTTTGTTGGTACAGGAGGCCCGACTTGCAACGCGATTGGTTCTGGAGGAAGCGTTGCAAGTCAGGGGTGTCGTAACTCGAACCCACATTTATGGCAGGTGCCATGTGCCGTTGTTAATGCAGGCCGAGGACATAAGTTGGGGATTTCCGGCCCCTTCCGCGCTTACAAAAGTGGTTGTAAGTGCTGGGGTTTGGAACTCGGGCCGTTGCATCTCGGGGGCCTCCTGTATTTTAAGAGAATCCATTGGGAGGGCTATTGTAATATAATTTCCTAAGTGACTTCCATGCAGACTGCTGCTGCAGCCAGCAGCTCATACCTGCTTGCAGTTACACCAGCACACAGTCACTCATACAGTGAAGTCAATAAAGTCTCTCCAGCAAACTCCAGAGCAGAGCAGAACCTGATCTTCTATTATCGTATTGCATCCTGCACAGGGACGGGCACCCTGGATTCCCACTGACTCCCATGGGCCTTACGAGTGCTGAGCACCTCCCAGGATTGGGCCCAGTGGGGTTCAATCCTGAGACAGATGTGCAAATATTTATCCAGCTGCAATGAGCACATTAAGCAGGGGTATGGCCAGGCTCTGCCTGTTAACAGATCTTCCCTGGGTGTGCTCAAGGGGCCATTTAGTTGCATGACTCGGGCCCGGGGGGGGGGGAGTATTTTCTGACAAACACTTCACTGAACATGAATCAGTCTTGCACTGAGGGCCTGATCCTGCCCTGCTTACTGAAGCAGAATGCCCAGGGAAGGCCATAGGGGTTCTGGCCAAGTGAGGCATGTGCAGTGAATTCTCCTCACCTAGCTAGCGTCCTCACTGCTAGAGTATCACGTTGCTGGGGGCCTCCAGTTCCGCCAGTGTCCATGCGCTGCAGCACGGGCAAGGCGATCGGGGATAGAAAGAACAGCTATTTACCCTCAAGTAATTGGGGTTCTTCGTCCACACGGACTCCATGCTTGGTGCCTATTCAATTCCAAGGCCAGAAGGGACCATTGTGAGCATGTGCAAGGGCCAAAGATCTCCCCAGAAGGCTCCCTCTAGCAGCCCCCTTAGAAACACACCCTATCTTGAATCTAAAACTTCCAGTGAGGAGTCCCCAAAGACCCTGGATAAATGGTTCTAGTGGTTAATTATCAAATTCCTCTTATTTCCAGGGGGAATTTGTCCAGCTTCAGCTTCCAACCCTAGGGTCATATGAGACCTTTCTCTGCAGGACTGAAGAGCCCCGCTATTAAATATTTGTTCCCCAGGTAGACGCTTAAAGTTATAATCAAGTCACCCCTTAGCCTTCTCTTTGTCAAGCTGAATAGATGGAGCAGCTTGTGTCCATCACTATGAGGCAGGTTTCCTGGCCCTTTAATCATGTTCGTGGCTCTTCGCTGAGTCTCTTTGGTTTATCGACATCCCTCCTGAACGGTGGCCCACAGAACTGGATGCTGGATCCCTGCAGTGGTTGCCAAACAGATTGGGAAAATAGCCCCAGTTTCTGCCTTCCAGAGTCGCATTATGCCTTTTGGTCACAGCGTCACACTAAACTTTAGCTGGGACGATTTGATGTTTCCTCCGTAGCGTTGATAATAAATGTGAAATAGCAGCGGGCCAAGAGCTGATCCACACCTGAGATGCACCCCAGGCAGGTGGGGCCGGGTTCTTTTGGCCAGTAATGTCAAGCAAGGCTCCATCTGTGCCCTAGGTACCCTCCTGCTCTCCAACCTGAGGGTGTATTGTGTGGACCAGGACCAGCCATCCCACTGGTGCACAATCCTGCAGAAGTGGAACTCCACAGGAGCAGGGAAGGAGGGTGCACTGTGGAACCCAGGTGGACAACACGTCTCGAAGAAATACAGTTACTGCAGATCTAGAGTCAGTAATGTTCTCAATTCGAGTGATTGTCCTGGGGACTTAACAAGTGGTTGTTTGATTGGCTGGCATTGGGGAACAGGAGGCCTGCTTACGTGACAACCACAGGACAGCCAATCCGATCCGGCTGCTGCTACTCAGGTACAGTGAGTGTCCTGTAAATGTGAGGACCAGGGAGCTGCTCTACAAACTGCAGATGCAGGAACAGTCCCCAAACAAGGGGCCTTAGCTTGAGGGGGATGGGGTCCGATGTGGCTAGCGCGCTCTACCCTGGATAACTCATAACCTGTCCCTTATACAGGTGCAGACCTATAACTTCAGCAGCAAAGGCCACAGATAGTCCTGTCTAAATAAAAAACCTGTCCTCACTACACCAGCTGTGTGATGCCAACCTTCCCCTGGAGCTGGGTGAGGGCTAGGAGCGGGGTTGGTGAGGCAGCCTTGGGAAGACTCTTGGAGTGAGGTCCAAGACTTCCCCATGCTTATGAGACACTGTATAAAGAGGGCCTGTCATGATGGTCTGCATCTTCCGTCCCCCAGCCAACGGCACCAAGAGATACCGTCTGCCTTGACAGGCAGCACAGAGAAAGGTTGCCAAGGGCTCAGAGGGAAGACCTATCCCCTTTGCTACCATGATACTGTGGTCTCAAGGAAGAAGGATTCTTGAATGAGGGGAAATGTCCACGAAGACCTTCCGAGATGGGAAGCTACAGATACGTCTCCTAGCAGGACTTTTATGGAAGTGATGGAAAGCCCAGACTGTTTTAGGGCTGGAAAATAGCCCCCTATCACTGACACTGATGTTAAGGGCACAGCTGGTGCTGAGCTGCCCAAATAGAAAATATTTTCCATGTTGGGCTTCCAGCTTGCAGGTCCATGTTTGAAACTGCAGCATCACTAGGTCTTAAAAGCCTGGTGGTTTAGCTCAGCCTGCATGGGTGGGGAGAGAGCTAGATTAACTAAAATTCACCCAAGGACTTGCCTGAACAGGGGAA